TGGTTGTAATGCAAGGGTGTGAAAACCAGCATTAGCACTATAAGTAACAATGGAATGGTTAAAGGAATGACACAACACAAAATAAATTTATCATTGCAGTTTTAAGAGGAAAATAAAAAAGAGTTAATAAAATTAATCGTTATTGTCAGGTTATTCTTTTTTCTTTCCATTTTTCTTGTCGGGGAGGGCAAGAGCCAAAAAAAGTAATAATGAGATTTTTCTTTTCAATTTATTAAAATAAATTTTGCAACTGAAAAGAAATCATAAAGTTCAGTTTTGTACCAAATTTTGAAGCAACTTTATAAATTCTTTAAATATTCTATTAACCAACTCAAACTTGCTACACAATATAAGAAGATGTGTAAGTATCAAAAAATTATAAAAATGAAAAAAAAACAATTCTATTCACTATATCAAAAGACAAAATGGTAAGCAATTTGGAGGTGCGGTTCACAACTACGAATTAATTTTAAGCATAATTTTTTAAACTTTGACATCATTTTCCAAACAAAAATTAATGTCAGTGAAGTCCAGATAGCCAGCCAATGGCTCAATGAGTGCATTGATTGATGATACTAAATCACTGAACACTGGCCTATCATCAGGAGACTCAGACCAACATGAAGTCATCAGTGAGTAACTGTGAAAAGGAAAAGCATTAACATTAATTTTAATTGCAACTGTAATTTCATACATTTCATTTGAACATGCTTCATTATTTGGAGTGTGTAGTCTTCCACCAGTATTTAGTAACTCTACAATTCCCATTGGATCTAGACCAGGATAAGGTACTCTACCAAGACTGAACACTTCCCAACACAATACACCATAAGACCACTGTAAAGAACAGAATGGAACAATTTATATTGATAGGGCATATTATTTCTTGCAATTGTACTGACCACATCAGATTTTTCAGAGAACAGTCCATCATGAATACTCTCTAATGCCATCCATTTCAATGGTAGTTTAACAGGTGATGAGTTATTATCATCTTCCAGTTGTCTGAAGTAGTTTTGAGAATATATATCTTCAGATAGGCCAAAATCAGCAACTTTAATGATACCATTATCATCAATCCTATAATAAATAATGTATTTGTGCATGAACAGTTTAATTAGGCCACTAATACAATTAGTTACTCTAGTAAAGAATTAACTTTGTATTCTTGGAATCTATTGTAGTGGGCATGTTACAAACATGCGGTAATTTTTCTGGCTTTACATCCTTTGACTATTTACACATACAAATTATAAATAATGTATTTGTACATAAACAGTTTAATTAGGCCACTAATACAATTTGTTACTCTAGTAAAGAATTAACTTCGTATTCTTGGAATCTATTGTAGTGGGCATGTTACAAACATGCGGTAATTTTTCTGGCTTTACATCGTTTGATTATTTACACAAACAAATTATGACTTACATGCAGTTTCTAGCAGCCAAATCACGATGAATGAATTTCTGTGAAGCTAAGTAGCACATTCCATTGGCAACTTGTAAACAAATGGAGAGTAACTGTTTCCTGACATTCTGTATAATATCCTCTTCACTGGTATCAGCTACTGTAAGATTAGGTCTCTCTTTCTTGAGGTAAGACAATAAACTTCCTCTTGACA